TATATTATATATAATATAATATATATATATATATATATATATGTGTGTGTGTACTTTCACTCTATGTGCAAGCCATCGTTAGTGCTGACGCTCTATTCTACGTGTGCCGAGTGACGTTTCACTTGTATAGAGCTCTGTGCTCGCCCAGTGTACTTTAGTACCTGTCGCGTAAGATCAAAAACAAGGTAGAAGGGTTTGAGGGCCATAGACTGAATCGGGCATCAATGCGTATTCATATCACAGGAGGAGAAGGATGAATCCATGACGACACAAGATGCTGCCATGTTTCCAATTGTCGCGTCGTGCTGTCTGTTGGGATTGTACTTAGTCTTTAAGTTTCTGGGCAAAGTATGTTCATTTGGCAGGCCAAATTTGACAACTGCCTTTCAATCACTTTGTACTACATAAATATTTTCATTCGCAAACTCGAAGAACAGATCATATGGTTGTTCTGCTAGCCTCCGAGGTAATTTAACAAGCATCATATTCTCTGCTTGCTAGTATGGCTACAGGTGCATTCACATCCGTTGCCAGACTTGTTAAACGCTCAGTATACAAATAGGCTATTTAATTCTTGTACACGACTGCGTTTCTCGAGCGCAAATGCAATCGACACCAATCGGCCCAACCAGCCATTTCAAACAGAAATCCACATCTTAAAACACGCAGCAGTTGTTGTGCCTTGCTTCACTTCTCCATAGTCGAACATTGTACGATACATTTTGCTGTCCATGCAGGTGTGCAACTCCTGCCGGCTATAGAACACTCTGCAGCCGAGTCACCTACTGGGCTTGTCCACTGAAGTCTTTTATTAAAACCTTTTATCGATGTTGTTGTTCTGGTACCAAAAGCCGCTATTCACTTCACACTCTTGGCTACCACGCTTGGCGTTGGCTTCCTCTATCAGCATTTCGGTACATGGCCAGCACTCACTACCAAATTCGGTACATGCTACATGGCCAGCACTCACTACCAAGGACTGTTTATTGTTAACGCTTGGAATCAGAGATTGGGGCGATCACACCTGTGCACTCACAAACTCGCATGGTCCTGACAATACAATGCATTGGCAGACAAGCGGAACTGTTTTATTTACGTTAAAGCATTCACGTGTCGATGCCTAAGTCTGCCCTCTCAACACACTCTCCCACCCCAGGAATACATCAACTATCTGCTGACGGGGTACTTCTTTGTCTTCGGGGTGTTCGCAATGGCGCACGTGGTGCGTCCCGTTCTATCGTCGATGTGTCCTGAGGCGATGCATGTGCCATTCAACATATCGTTCACTAAAGGATCAGGTGCCGATATCCAAGGTATGGTGGGGAAGGATATACATGCGTTTATGAATGCGTTAATTTAACCAGATTTGCAACGTTCGAGTATGTTGATGGGTTGTTATTTGGCTCCCTGACTTTATTCGTAATTACTCCTCCTGCACGCGGAGTTGTTCTTCGAAGCCTTTGCATATGTATACCTGCTGGGCTTCACATTGCACCGATTTCAAACAATGTTTATTTAAGTGTCTATGCAAGTATATACGTACTC